CCGCCGTAGCACGATATTATCCGTTTTGGGCCCCCCATACCCTCATAGTTTTGTTTCTGTGAACTCACGAGAAACTTCCCAGTGTGTCACCCATCCTGATATTACTCTCCTCCAAACTCGCTTAACTTTAGAGTTCTCCTGACTCTGAAGCTAGTGAGCTCCCAAAAGGCTTTGTGCTAGATGGAGGTGGGCATGTACATATAAGGCACATTACCCCTTATTCGTTGGTCGATGTGAGATGTTACAATCCATCCCTCTTAAGGACCCAACGTCCTCGTCGACATACTCACACCACACGGCAGAGTGGCTCTGATACCAAAGTGTCACATCCCGAGATCGGCTCTATCGTAGCACGATATTGTCCGCTTTGGGCCCCCTCATGCCCTCACGGTTTTGTTTCTGGGAACTCACGAGAAACTTCCCAATAAGTCACCCATCTTGGAATTGCTCCCCCTCAAATTCGCTTAACTTCGGAGTTCTCCTGACTTCGAAGCCAGTGAGCTTCCAAAAGACCTCATGCTAGATGGAGATAGGCATCTACATATAATATAAGGCACATCACCCCTTCTCTTTGGTCGATGGGGGATGTTACATTACCCAATAAGCTCCTCCTATAACTACAAGAATTACAAAAAAGCTTACAGAAGAAGCTTTTCCTCCCAATTGTTGAGGAACCCAGATGGAATGCAAAGAAGCGGAGCTGGTTCCAACCAGCGAAGTGAAGTTGGGTCTTGTAATATGATGGTAGGCCCTGACTTGGAGTTTCTATTATGTTTTTTTTTCATTATTTATTTATTTTCAATTTACAAAATGATCATTTTGCCCTCATTTTTAACGGCAAATTGGATGAAATGTTGTCGATTTAGACGGAGGGGGGAAATTGACGAAAAAAAAGTTCATATCCTTAATTTTCTTAAAAAAAAGGATAATGGGTAAATTGAAAGTGAGGTACAAGTATAAGGGGCAGATCACTAGTATACCCTAAATAAATAGTATAGCCGTACTCGGATTTTTCAATAATAAAAATAGTATGGTCCCAAATTCAGCTGGGTTAAAATAGAATAGAACCCTTTTTTTTTCCCTCTCACACACAATATAAAATACAATGCCAAAAGCTAGAAACAAACCCTAAATCCTTAACCAATAAGGTAATCATTTACATCCTAAATTAGCAAGGAAACTCAAATGCCTCCCAATCCGCCTAAGATACAAATTTCCAATCCTTACACTACTAATCCTTACAATATCATCAAAGATAGCTTCTATTTGGATTTAAAAGACTGAACAAAACAAAAAAAAAAATCAATGAAATCACAGACAGAGAAGGCAAATCATTATGAACCATATTAGTCATCCTATCAATTCCTATAAAACCTTTACATTACAAACACTTGACAACACTGACTAAACTAAAAACCATCAAGAGCTTCCTCTCATTCAGCCACATTTAATTAAGTTTAATTTTGTTCATTCTGAATGGAAGAAATAGCTGCAACACGTTTACACTTGTATTTGCTTTGGTGATTTTGTCGTTTTTGGCTATGGCGCAACACATTGTCTTTGAGGGTTCACATATGTCATTCTCCTGAAGAGTCCAACTGCCATTCGGAAAATTGTGAAGCCTCATGTAAGGATGAACTCAAGGATGATTTCTCCTATTTATATTCAATAACTGTTAAAATAAATCTTAACACAAAACGAGGTACGGAACTTTTTATACAAATTTATAAATAAACCCAATCCTAGACATGTATTTATAAAAAAACCCAAGCACTATTTAAACATAGAAACACACCCAAAATTAACCCCAAAGTCAACTTTTTGGGTGTGTTTATAAATGGGTTTTGAGTGTGTATAATGATGGGTTTTGGGTGTGTTTATAAAGTGTTTTGGGTGTTGGGTTTTTTTATAATTTCAACCTCCATTTTGGGTGTTTTAGTGAAACTCCCAACTTTTTATCCAAGTTTAGAAAAAGGAAAGTTTAGAAAAAGGACTTGAGCTTTCTCGAGGAAACCAGTTGGAGGGAGGTTTGAGCGCCCTTTTACTCAGAGATGCTGAAGATGATGATACGGACTACAACTGCTGCTACTTCTTCTTCTTGTTATTGCTGGAGCAGCAGAGGTATGAATTGTCTTCACTCTAACTCCACTTTTCTCGTTTTCGTCACCAATTACTTTGCTTTCTTTCATTCTCAACCTTCGAAACCGATCAAATCTACGAGAACGCAACTAGAGCAGCCAAAAAGAGACTTACCCAAAATCACCAATGTTGAGGATGCCTTCAATGTGTTCGATAGAATGCTTCAAATGCGCCCTCTGCCTTCTGTTGTCCGTTTCAATAAAATCTTGGGTCAAGTTGCAAAATTGAAACATTACTCGGCCGTCATCTCATTGTATAACCAAATGGGTGTGTCGAGAGTTGGACATGATGTTTGTACCCTAACCATTCTCATAAATTGTTATTGTCATCTAAACCAAATGGGGTTTAGTTTATCTGTATTGGGAAAATTCTTCAAACTTGGTCTTGAACCAAATGTCAGTACCTTCACCACTCTAATGAACGGCTTTCTTCTCGAGAATAGAGTGGTGGAGGCAGCTGGAATTTTCAACAAAATGATTGCGGGAGGTAATTGTCAGCCTGATGTGGTTACTTTTGGCACAATAATAAGGGGCTTTTGCATGAAAGGTAACAATAGGGCTGCTATTCAGTTGCTTAGGAAGATGGAGGAAGGAGCTTGCAAGCCTAACCTAGTTGTCTATAGCACAATCATCGACAGTCTTTGTAAGGATACACTAGTTGATGATGCATTAAACCTCTTCTCAGAAATGATGTGCAAGGGTATTGCCCCAAATGTCATTACCTATACATCCTTGATTCATGGAGTTTGCAAATTAGGCGGGTGGAAAGAAGCTACAAGGTTGTTCAATGAAATGGTGAGTAAAAACATCTTTCCAAATGTGTGCACGTTCAATGTCTTGGTAGACACACTTTGTAAGGTGGGGATGGTTGGGGAAGCAGAAGGCGTGGTCGGAATGATGATTGAAAGAGATATTGAACCTGATACCGTTACATACACTTCACTTATGGATGGTTTCTGTTTGCGAGGAGAAATGGGCAAGGCGAAAAAGATTTTTGGACTAATGCTTAGCAAGGGCTCGATGGTTAATGTTGTTAGTTACAGCACATTGATAAATGGATATTGTAGGCGTAAAATGATGGATGAGGCCATGACGCTTCTTTGGGAAATGTCTCGTAAGGGACTGGTTCCAGATACTGTTACTTATAACACTCTTCTGGGTGGTTATTGCAAAGTGGGGAAATTAGGTGATGCACAAAAGTTGTTCTCTGAGATGCAAGCTTGTGGTCAACTTCCAGATGTTCAAACTTATGCTATTCTACTGGATGGCCTGTGTAAAAACCGTAAACTTTCTACCGCAATCCAACTGTTTAAAGAGATGGAAGGCAAGAAGTTGGATGCAGATATTGTGATTTACAATATTCTTATTGCAGGTTTGTGCATAGCTGAAAAAATTGAATCTGCAAGGGAACTCTTTTTTGGTTTATCATCAAGAGGGCTTCAACCGAATGTAAGGACATATAACATAATGATTAAGGGACTCTGTTTTGGGGGCCGAACAAGTGAAGCAGAAAAGCTGCTTATCCAAATGGAAGAGAAAGGTTGTTCTCCAAATGATTGTACGTATAACATAATTATTCGAGGGTTTATCAATAACAATGAGACAGTAAGGGTGACAGGACTTATTCAACAAATGGTGGAGAAGGGTTTCTCAGCAGATGCATGGACTACAGAATTGATAGTTGAACTATTGGGTAAAGATAAAGTAGATCCTGCATTGTTGCCATTGATGCAAAATAGAGAATTATGAGCTGAATTTGCCTCAGTTAAAGTTGAACAGATCTTCTGACCATCCCAATAAACATTGAAGATCTTCCACCTCTGGCAACCATGGATGTGTTATATCTGTGATCTCTTAATCCATCATGTGACAATGTTGAGTAGTAGATATAACTTTACTGATAATCGTAACATCTTTGAAACAATTGGCTTGTGTTTTTGTACGCAGGTCTTTTTAAGTTTCTTTCACACAAACATTGTGCAATTGACTGACTCTGCATGTTTTTGTTATTTTGCGGTATACAGACTTGGTTATATAAAGACATCATTGGGGGATATCCTGTGATCATTATAGAGAAATTTCTATGTTACTCTTTTAAGGTTGTTAAATTTATTAGAGAGAAGCAGGGTATTTGGACTGATATAATCAGATTAGTTGTATTTGTGAAGGACATGGTGAGAGCAACGTTCAGAAATGCAGCTTGTGAAATGCAAATTTATTTGATAGTTCTTGTGGATCATGGGGGGAAAACTTATTTAAGAAATTTCAAACACACTAATCATGTAAGGAGGGGATGGTTGGAGAAGCAGGATCTGAAGTAGCTTGGCCAGTGCTCATTCGAATAACAATCTTATCTTGCTTCATCTTCTTCCAGCCATCCACTGTGTCTTTCCGAGCTACATTACCTACCCCAGGAGAACCAAACTCTTTCCATCACAGGATGCACAACCATATATTAGCTGCAACAAGAATATAATCCAGGACCTTGAAACAATATTGGCAGGAACACACAAAAAGAAACAGAAAACATGCGATGCATAAGGAAGAGAAGGGGCAAGCTCCAACGCGATCTCCAAGAGCTGTCGTACAATGACGGATCCAGGATTTGAAAGCCGGTCAGGCGAAACTTACATTAAAAACTCTGAATTTCATTAATAAACATAGAAAAATACACCTAGTCAATGAACATAATGAGCATTACCCTCAAATGCATCTTTATACATAAATTAAAGCTTATAACAAAAAAACAAAAACAAAAGATAAAAAAGAGAAGAAGTAAATGCAATGCAACACAAAAATAATAGCACAAGCTCGCCCACAAATATTAATATATTATTAACAAATAATCAATGTCTTCACCTATCTTCTTCGGGGAGAGACCTAGAGGACCAATCTTGGGTCGAACATTGGAGGCATGGCGTCTTTGGTGGCGCTCTGGGTTTCGAGGGGTTTGGGTTTTGGAGGGAGTCCATGACCCCTGACCCGACGGACTAAGGGACATGGAAAGGGACGTGGAAGTTCCGTGCCCAGCTGATTGGGGTCTTTCCCAATCTCTCATTTCATCAATCTCCCAAAACTGAAAATTCAATTCACCAACCAAAACCTCAAATCCCAATTTCTCATTGTTTAAGCAGCTGGACCATGACGATATATTGGCTGGTGACAATGTTCTGGATTTGATGGACAAGGCAGTGGGGAGTAGGAGGGGTGGTGCGCAGTGGGATATTGTTTTTTTCAATTTTAAGATTTTTTTTTTCTGTCTTTAATATGTATTTTCCTATTGAATAATTTTTTTAAAATAATTTGTGGACCGAATTGCCCCTCCAAAACTAATAGAAGTTAAATTATTTTTTTTATTTTATGGAAATTGAGGATTGCCTTTGAATTGCTTCAAATTGAAACCACAAAGGGCAAACTACAGGGACCAAAATGGACTTTTTCCCTATATTACTTGGCAATTGGCAATTGGCAAATTCCACGAAAATAGCTTTCCAAGTTCTTCATTGGAGGCAATTTTACAAGGAAGAGGAGTGTTAACATTGGGCTGCAACACTGGCTCTATTAACAAGCAAACCACAGCGGCAAAAGGCTTAAATGGATCTGTTTAACAGCAATAACAGAACAATTAATAGAAATATTAGACAAATAAATAATTCCTGATATAAACTCCAGAAAGCAAATTTACAGACAATAAACAGAAACAAGTTCAAGGTGCAAAGACAGACGAGGTAACTTTTATGATTAACATACATTACCGACCAAATCCCCAACATATTTAATTGCAAAAATATGAGGGATCAATTTGGTCTTCAGACCTGTAATTACCTTTGCCGTTCCTATTTCCACATACTTGTGAACACATCATAGCTTGTTGCCCCATTATGTCATCAGGCATGCCAGGTAGAGTCTTATTCAAGTGATAATATAATATTGCTAAACTGCCATTAAGTGAATACTGAAAAGTGGCTCAAGGGGTCAATTTGTTATGATGATTAAGTAACTCTTTGGTGACTTTCATCTAGAAGTTTAAGACTTCTTAACATCCGTTTAAAAGTATGTAGGCAATCAGCTGTCAAATTTGTTATACCTCACATGACTCTGTTTTCCTAAAACTAGTACGGAGTCATGTTCACGGTTTAAGATCATGGACTATAATATAATAATGGTAGTATGAGATACTAAGTAAACAAGTCACCTTCCCAGTATATATATTCTATTGGTCCTCAACATATACACGGGAACATTTTCAATCTGTACCTGTTTCAAAATGCCAGTGCAGTCATCTTCATTTCTGCTCAAGCCTTCCATGCATTCTGCGTTAGCATTGATCCAAACTAGAAGTGCATTGGAAAGATGCATCTCACTGTAAAAGACCACTAAGAGTCTAAGATATCAGTGTGTCAAGATATCTCACAGAAAATTTAACTAGGTCATTCAAAGGATAAGTAACCTGTCTACTGTCAAATTCATGTGCTTCACGCAATACAGTAATAATAAGTCCATAGGATCTGACGCAACTTAATTGATAACAATCTCCAATTCAACCATTAGCAACAACCTGATCGAAAAGAAATATATGGAGGCATCTGTTTTCAGTTTAACCAAGATTAGTAGCCACAAATCCGTGTGTGCATGTGCGCATGTGCCACGTGGTCAGGAGACTACATGGTGCTCTTTGATGTGTTTCATTATGCTAAAATCATATCCTCCATTACATCCTCAGTAATGATGTCAATTCTCTTTGCCTCTAACCATGCCCCTCTTGGGCTCACTTAAGCTCTTATATCCTTCTCATTTCCTAGCCATCTCTAACAGAACGCTCTTTTTTCTTTTAGACCTTGCAAGTGCAATATTATGACTAAACACAAACGTTGGCTGTCAAGAGAAAACAATCTAAAGTGATATCATATGGAATATCAACTAAAATGGTACCTCACAATAAAACATAATTTTCTACTCCATATCAAGTCAATATGAATCTACAACCTCCCACTAGCCTCTATGTGTGAGTTAATATTGAAGCATAATTCTATTTTCAACAATTAATCTGATTGTGCCCGAGTCACTACTACGAAAAATTGGGCACAAGAAGGCTGCAGAGAATATAAATACAAGTTGAGGACATACAAAGTTTCTCGCAAGATAGCTCCCACATAATTCCGGAAGAAAATCACGGCTGCAATCCATTCCAATTTAATCTATTAGACTAGACAACACTAATTTAAAATACGAGTCTTTCATAGACATTGCTGTTCTAATCATTCTCACCATGCTCTAAACCAAAGCTCCAAATAGAAATCAAATCATCGAATTGTACTCGCGGTGGCACCTCCGCCGATACTCCCTCAGAAAACCAAGTTTTGCATCTCATGAGAAGCGTCTGCACTCCAAAATAAAGTGCACCCTGAAAACGTAACACAGTATTGTCAAAGGAATATTAACTTTGTAAAACATTTTATGTGATTTACAGGCAGATGCGTTCAAACTAGAACTAGAAGTTAAAGAAATGCAATTTTTTCTTTTTAAATGACCAAAGGTTTGAATTATTTAAGATCAAACCAATAGTTAAACAAATAAGTAAATGAAGAATAGAAAAGAACACACTGGATCAGAATTACCATATAGTAAAGTTAATTCATTTACCTCATAAGAGGGAGGAAATTATTAGATGTTACATCCAATGGGCGGTCATATATACAATTGATCCAGATTCACTACAAAATTTCTCAACAATTTAGCCAGAAGCAATTAAACAAAATTGATTAGAATATAATTATTCAAATTCAAGAAAAATAAAACTTGTTCATTTCTTCGAAGAATCATAATCTAAATTGAAAGAAAGCACAACTTCAAGTTCCGGGCTTCGTTGAATTCAGTTTCACAAGAAGAAAGTGATCGAAATTGATTACTTGAAGCTCCCACTTAGGAGGCCATTGAAATACGATGAGTGTTGAATTAGCCTGCAATCAAATCTCCCTCATTGTATTTTCCCGGGAAACAAACGGAAAAAGAGTGAGAAAATGATAAACCACCACGCACCTGTTCCGATGGGCTTGAACTTTGACTGTTTGGTGACAGAGAATTGATGGCAAATCCCAGCTTGGTATATTCGTGACTGAAATTAGAATCTCTATATCGGTGCTGGTGGTGTTTGCTTGAATTGGATGGGGGTTGCTGCAGACGACGGTGATGAAGTCGTCGTCTGAAGTTGAAGAAGCCATGCTCTGGTTTTCCGACACTCCGTCTGTAAGACAATGGAAGCAGAGAATATGCAGAAGTTTACAACTTCGTTCATGGAGTGACGAGCTTCTTCTTCCTTTTTTAAATTTAATTTTTAATGGAAAAATAGGATTCATGATCTGATTTTAAAAAAATTTAAAATTATTTTAAAATTAAAAAAGATAATTGCTACTTATGTTTCATGAAAATATGATCTATTATCGAATTTTTCTTTTCATTTTAATTTTTTTAATATAAAAAAGTGGGAATTTACTGTATTATCATCATTTAATTAATAATTTTAATCTTTAATGTTTGCATTAATCAAGGACATTTTTTGATATTTTGAATATTTCACAATTCTCTGCCTTTTGCTTTATATATATAGAAGATATAGATTAATATATTCAAAGAGTATAGCCAATCAGTTAATCCTTTTAAAATT